AAAAAAAAAAAAAAAAAAAAATTAAGTGCGATTTTTAGTCTATGTAAAGGTGTTAAGTGTGTCATTACTTCTTTTGTGCTAACTTTGATTATATCGTTCACGTTTACATTTCTTTTACTTTCTTAGGCATTCTTTTTAGGCATAATTAGGACATGCATACTTGGTGAATGTAAAAGCTATGATCTTGTTTTCTTTGTGCAATGTGTGAATTATGGAACTATCGTCTATGTCTTTGAATGAGTAGTGCTTTCTGTGGAGTGAGTTCGCGAGTTTGAAAAATTTGGGTGACTATGAGATTGACGTGCATTATGATTGTGAAGTCTATATTTACGGCTTTGAAATTGATGTATTGATATAATTCTTATTGATTTTGGTTTGTCCGTAATAAGTTGATGTGCGTGTCAATCCCGTTGGTCCATGTTCTTTTGCTGCTATGTCGTTTCTAGTGTTTGGAGCTATTTGTTAAGCCGTGCCCACGGCATAGAAAAATATGTTGCTGTCTTTTATAGTCTTATTTGCTGATTCTGTGTGCATTTGTGTAAGCTTTGCCCATGTCTTATAAAAATTTGTTTCTGTCCCTTGGTCACTATTTTTTTTCCAGTTATTTTAGTTGCTAGCATTTCTTTTTGGTGTTAATATTTCTTTTACGTTATTCTTTCCTTTTTGCGTTTTTTATTATAAATAATTAAATTAAAAAAATCTCTCTAAGTTGCTACTGCTAGCATTTTTTATTATTTGTTCTCTCTCATTTTTTTTTTATTTCTTCCATAGACTATCTCTCGCAGGCATCGTTTCACATCTTAGGGCTTTTTGAAATTCTCCTAATTCTCTCAATCATAGGGCAAATTATTTGCGGTGAATTTTCCCCAACGATCGACGAGGAATTCGGGTTTAATTGGTTCGTCTTGGCTGGAACCCTCTTTGCCGCCGTCCGAGAAATCAAGTAGACCTCCACTCGATGTTCACACGGACTCGTCTTCGACAGACCGTATAGGAGCCTGAACCGGTGACAAATTCTTCGAATCTTACTCATCGTCCCGCCGTAGTAAATACGGTGCTCTGTCATTGATTTCTGTTCGCAGCCCACAGAACCACGCTCCGGATTCCGAACCTTCCCGTTAGATCGAAATCCACAGATTTTTGATAGGTGCTCCCAAACTATCGTCTCGCCGTGGTGCCGTGCTGAACATCAATTATACTGTCCCTGTGCCCGACGACAATCCCGAGCCCGTCGAATTAATGGTTCTTGGTGTCCAGGAGGAATCTATTGATTTAGAGATGGTAGCTCACAATTGTTGGAGCTTTGATGGGTGAAACAAGCGATTGTGTTGGAAATACGGTTGAATATGCTCTTGCTTATTGCTCAAGGTCTGAAGGTATCTGCTTGCATTGGAGTGACTCTTGAAAAGAGACAAGCAGGATATACTTTTTGGATGTTATTGGTGGACAAATGTTGATTTCGT